TGCATTATGCACAAGTTTGGTTCTTCATTATTATGAAAGTGCCTTTCTTATAAAATGAAAAATGAATTCAATATTATGTTGAGAGGATCTGAAAGGTCTGGAGGGAATTTGTTTTTGAGTGTTGATGGTGGAACGGGAAGGGGAGACAGCCACAACTCTAATATGTAAAATTAATTGTTGATATGGCAGTGCCTACTAGTTGATGTAACATTATTTCACAATAATAACAATACTTCTGAATTCTGATATGCATTGAATTGATGAATTTCAGAAGGGATGATAAATAACTTCAGGTATTCAAAATGGGTATCAGTTTCAACTACCTTTGATAGAAATGCGGGGGATTGTAGATAATTTGAGTGATTTGGGTCTTTTTATGATTTTAATATAATCTTCCTATAAATGGTTTCCAAGAGGTCTTGAGGTACTCATATTGTTTTATGTATGATGTGAAGTAGGGATGCAATATGGTAGTCAAGTCACTAGAAGATTTATGGCACTGATGGAGACAGAGTCTGTGTGGCTCTTCTGAAAAGCTTGGGACATTTTATGTTGATTGAATTTCACATGAAACCCTCACAACATTCCTCCTTTTGAGAGTTGAGAGACCAGCAAAATCTCTCGAAAGACTTTTAATCTTCACTTAATTTCGATATTGAGAATTGCAATCCCTGTGATTGGTTTAAACATAACCCCATGTCAATTTTAATGGTTTCTCTTTCTCCATAAAAATATTTTATTTGAATTCTTTCATGCAGAGCCTTTAGTTTTAATAATTTCTCTGCAACACTCCCACTGGAACTTGGCAATTTAGTCAAACTTGAACAACTGTGAGTTATAACTTTCTTCTACTTCTTTGTAGCTCAATAAGTTTGTGCAGTAACAAGCATATCACTGGAGACTAAACAGTTTTGGTTTATGAATGTATAGTTACATTGACAGCTGTGGAGTTGGTGGTGAAATTCCCTCAACGTTTGCTAACCTTCTAAACATGCAAGAAATGTAAGAAGGTCCCTGGGATCATAAGCTGTATTTATTTGTCCGCTTATGTTTCTGGAGAATCTCAAAATCATCTTCTCTTACCCTATCGTTAATAGAGAGCTTTTTGGATTTTAGGTGTTTATCAGACAATCCTATCACAGGGAAGATACCTGATTTCATTGGCAACTGGACAAACCTTAAATTATTGTAAGTTACAGTTAATTCTTTTTCAATTTTTAAAGCCATTCTTTTTTAATTAGTTTTGCCTCATTTCTTCAACAGTGAGATATATCTAGTTTGTTCTTTCTTGATTGGCCTGTGAAATATTTCTGTAGGAGACTTGAAGGGAACTACTTTGAAGGTCCTATACCATCCAGTTTTCCTAAATTAACCTCTCTAGAATCTCTGTAAGTAATTATCCACTTACCATTTATACTCTCTCTGCATGCGTGATTCTGAAAGTATGTATAATGGCTAACTTCTTCAATTCTTATCTATAATCATGCAGGCGAATCATTGGTTTATCCAATGTGAGCTCTTCTCTTGATTTCATTAGAAATTTAAAGAACTTAACTAGCTTGTAAGTAAAAACACTCTAATCATGTACAGAAACCTGTATCTTTGTTTGCCTTTGTTGTGTTTGTTTTATTAGTTAGTTGACTAATAAACTTTACTCTCCTTTTTTGTTCTTATTTTTCCTGTAGAATTTTAAGAAATGCATTAATTACTGGTAGTATTCCATCTGATATTGGAGAACTCCAACATTTACAAAATCTGTAAGAATTGTTCACACTTTGCCTGATCGACATGTTGTCTATGAAATTTGCTTCCATTTCCTATATTAATTTAATTCCTCTTTCTATACCAGGGATTTGAGTTTCAATAACTTGACAGGCCACATTCCAAGTGCTTTGTTCACCATAAGTTCTCTTCAATACTTGTAAAGTCATAGAAGATGCTTCAAAATCTTGATTTTATGTCAATTTCATCCTTAGTTCAACCTAATGCCATTAACCTGATGGTATCAACCATCAAAAGAAAAAAAATAATTGAATGTATTATATTTTGTCAATGTCCAGGCTTCTTGGAAATAATAGTCTGTCTGGTACCCTCCCTAGCCAAAAGAGTGAAAACCTAATGAATATGTAAGCCATAACCTTCTGAGCATTCTCTTTATTTGAATCAATAACTTCTGCTAACTTTCTTGTATTGTACTTTAACTACTTTATCATGCAGAGATTTATCTTACAATTTTCTGTCTGGAAGCTTTCCCTCATGGGTGAACACAACCAGACAATTGTACGTAGCAGCTTGAGCTTATTTTTCTTTTAATTGATGTCACATTATTAATGCAATATGAATGAAAGGAAAAAGTTCAAGATCTACACCAACCATCTCCATTAAATTCTTGTCAGATGTACATCATTTCTAGAAAAGTTATCTGTCACTTTAAACTCATGAATGTCTGGATTGTTTCAACTGCTATGACAGATGTTCATTTGTGTTATTGCTTTGTATCATGTAGGAATCTAGTAGCCAACAACTTCACATTTGACAAGTCAAACGTAAGGTGAGTTGTAGTTCTTAAATATCTGTCTGAGTTTTACTTGTCTGAGTTTCACTCTTCTATCCACTTAATCTAAAGGCATAAGAAAATTGGTTTTAATTTTT